AGTCTTTAAATATGTCCCCTTTTCCCACCTTTACAAGAGTTGTTCCCCTTTTCCTTTTGATGCCCTTGGCACTGGACCCCTTCAGATGGCCTTGCTTCATTTTTGACCTACTGGATTGGCTGGTTCCTTTTCCATTTATTCTTTGGTAGAAAACACTCTCTTGGCTTTTTTTTTAAATCCCACTATACATATATTTTTGTGCTTCTCTTTTAACTTCACTAGTTATTTATCTTTCCAATCCTGAACATAGTGGAGTTCTTTGAGATATCTGGCCAGATGTGTGTAACAAAGTGGAGCTTTGCCTTGAGTTAGGGGCTCCTCAAGATTTAGTCTGGAATGTTTTCTCCTTTGGTATTTTGCTCTGTTATGAAAGTTAGTTGCTCAATATTTTCTCAGGTGGATGTTAAAAGCTCTAGTTATTGTTCAGGATCAGGGAACTGACTCCCTTATTCCTTTTACAATCCAGATTCTGAGGTTTCTCATGTGCTCCCATTGGGTCACAATACTATCCCACCATGGTTCCTGATTAGGAAAGTAAACATCTGCAGCTAGGATGTCAGGGGAAGCCAGAGGTTCTCAGTCCCAAAGGCCTTCTCCACTCTCCTGACCATATTCTCTCACAAGGGAATAGAATTCCTAGTACAGAGAGTATTAATGCAGGTGTACAATTGTGGGTCCAATCACTGGTGTAATTGTTGAGCCACCACTGGAGATCTTCTAGTATGGGTCTTAGTTCCCTTTTAAAGTCCTTACTTTAGAACTGGATACAGCAGCAGTGAGGAGTCTTACCCACACACCAGAGGAACCTCCATGAGGTGTAAAATAGCTATGGTTTCTCTTCAACTAGAGAAGGAAAGGGTCAGTTTGAACATCCTTTTCTCCTTGCTCCAGCTCCTCTTTCAGTCCAGGCACAGATGGGTAATGAGACAGGTGGGGGCAGGGGTTGCTGACAGTCAGATTGTGGTGTAGACAATGAGAGCTGAGTGGCTATGTCATCTTAGGGCTCAAACATGAAAGGAGGAGGAAATGAAGCTGCAAACAGTGACTTAGAACTTGGCAGATAGAATGATATGCTACCAGCTGTGTCATCCTTTGGGTGTGAATATGAAGAGGGGCAAGAAAGCAGCTGCTGCTGTGGTTGCCTGCTCCACCTCATTTAGAGGTTACTCTGTCCTGCTTGACTTGCCTGCTCTGGTAGGCTTGGCCCCTGGGTATAAGGCAGAAGTAAGCTGGTGCAGGGGGATCACATTACTTACTCTTTTTCCCCTCCCTTTTCTCAGTTTTTATGGGATGCATGCTCACTGTGCCCCACATCAAACCTCACACATAATCAACCTCTTTTCAGGACACACAAGTTTTATCATTAATGTGATCATTCTGTCAAAAGTTGAGTGACCCAATCTACATTGGACCTTAACATGAGGAGGTTGTGAGCAGCTTCTTGGGTCTATTTGAAACCACAGCTTTTCATTTCTTGTTTATTTGTATTATTCATTCTCTCACTTTCATTCCAATATGGGAGCACTTCCCCCAAGGAACTACTTTAAGGAAATTTTCTTTTAGATTCTTTTTCTTTAAAGCTGTTTTAATTTGATTATTATACATACTGCATTTTCTAAGTATAAGATGTTCCCTAGAAGATTAAGGTCCCCAAATCTGGAGATTTTATGCTCTCTATCCCAAACACCTTGTCTGTCTCAAATAATTTTCTTGGGGGAACTGCAGATGGATCAGAGTCCTCCATTAGTTTTGTGTCTGAGACATGTCTTAATCACACACAACCTGCCCTCAGAATGACTCAACCACCAAGAAATAATTTTTACCCATTCCTGAATTTTTTACTTTCACCTGTGCACAGGGCAGCCTGCTCAGCTGGAGCTGTTTTTTTTCTTTTTCTGAACCCTCCCCTGCATTTCTGAGAACTATCCTACCTTGTGGGTGCTTGCAGAAATTAGGCACTAACCATCTAGGATCTTGGAATCCACTACAACTAGGCAGGGCATATCTCCTTCCAAGGGGAGGGTGCAGGCCATTTCCAAGTGCATTGAGGGCTCTATGCTGGTTGCCAAGTTGTGAGACAAAAATTTTCCAGTATGGCTAATGGACTTCGAAACTATCTCAGTAAGGCTTTCCATGTTCAGAAGGGGATGTTGCTAGGCTACACAAAGCCAGCCATGCACCAAGCAGTCAAGTAGCCCAACTTTTATTTCTTGATTCACTGTCATCATTGTGCCATGCTCTAAAAGTGGGGACATGATGTCATCTTCTGTCCCAATTGGCAAGTTGTTAAGAAGTCAGTGTTGCTGGGTAGAACAGATCCTGTTACCAAGAAATATGTCTGTTTCAGTGTTTTATTCCAGGTACCCTGAAGGATGCTGAGACCCCCGATCACCTGACCAAAGGTATAGTGTCAGGATTAAAAAAAGACAAGGCAATATATTAACGCATAAATAGGGGGCCCAGGACAGTCAAAGCTCTTATCTGCCTAAGACACCTTCTCCTTGAACTTGCCACTATTTATTGAACACACAGCTTCTAGAAGGTTTAAGGGGTGGTGCAGGGAACACTGAAGCAGAGAGCACTGACCCGAGGAGGATCCTGGCAACCAGGGAATAAGGTATTCTTGTAGGATCATATCATTGAATAATGGGAATTTTGGTTTTTACCCTGAATAAATTTTGCCCCTGTAGGAGTTTTCTGTATGATTCATACTGCCCTCAGATGCTCTATTGTATTGCCATCCAAGACATCAGTATCCCGTATAATTGAGACCTTTGCCATAAGCAGTGGTGTGGCAAGTTGTTCCTTTCCCACACACCAACTGCTGGCTCTACAGGCAGCCACTGTGGGCTAATAGGCAGACTCACTTTGCATATGGAAAGCCAATATATTAATTTGCATCTTGCTCAAGGTGGACTCTATCACAGGTGGACTGGCCTGTGCCTCCTTTGTCTCAAGTTTCCCTTCTAAGGAATGGGGAAACAAACATGGATATATTTTACTAAAGTAGGATTTCTCAAAAATAGAGATTCATATAAAATGGATGTATGGTCAATATGCCCTTTAACAGAAAAGACTACCTTCCCCCACATTTTGTAAAGAATCATTACCTTGGCCAGGTGTGTTTGTGCCCACCAGTAATCCCAGCATACTGGAGGCTGAGGAGGGCTGATTGGGAGAGTTCAGAGCTAGCTTGGGATGCATAGTGATTTGAATGACAGCCTCAGCTTCATAGTAAGATCATGTCTTTAAAAAAAAAAGAATAATTTTCTGAATTATTTTTAGTTAATTTTTGTGATTAGAAAAATTAAGACATTTTTATATTTGGATATGGTTATTCTGTTTTTGTTTTTTTGTTGTTGTTCTGGTACCAGGGATCAAACTCAGCTCCTTGCTTTTGCAGGGCAGGCAGCAGAACCACTGAGCTAAATCCCCAGCCCCTGGATCCTGTTGTTTTCATAAATTGGTTTCTCAATCCAAAAGTTTTCTGTTGTTGATTTTAGCATCTTCTAAGGAAAAAATCAAAGCATTTTCACACATTAATAATCTGACATCATTTGATATTGGACATCTTACATTATTCCTATTTCTATTACTTTCAATTTCCTAACAACATTGATAAATATTCCACTAAACTACTGAACAGAAGTTTTGGGGAAAAGCAAATTTGTTGCTACTGATTATAACATAAATGTTTCTTGTTTTCCCATTCAGTTTAATTTTCTGAGTTTACTGAAATTAACTGTTAATAATATAGACATTTGGTCTTCTATATGTAGTTACTACATGTGTTTTGATCATTAAAAGATATTTACTACTGGAAAGGTTTTCTGTGCATCAAATGACATCATTTTGGTATTTTCATGATTGAATCAGTTCATGTGGTGAATTATGAATTTTTATTTGTGGCATTATGCACCATTCTTGCATACCATGAATGAATGAGTGGCTATGGTATATCTGTTTTCTTGAATTTAGATTCGAAGAAAAATTAAAAATAATTTTACAAGTATGTTTCCAAAACTATTGCCCTATAATTTTTTATTCTTCTGTTGTGATGTCCTCTGTTGTTAGTTTGATACTGGCTCTGGTAAATTAATGAAGAAGCATCCTTCCTTTCCCACTTTGTGCAAATCTTTAGCAACATTGTTGTCCATAATTCCAGTGCAGTCTGCTAAATGTCAGCAGATATTTCATATTATTGGTCTCTCATTGTGGAGAGAGAATTGTCTAATACTTCAAGCTCATTGTTTGTCTTGCATTTGCTTATATTTTCTTTATCAGGTAGATCCAGTTTTGGTAGATCATATGTGTTGAGACTTGTATGAATTTTTATCAAGAATTACAGTTTTGTATGTCTCTTTAAAAAATTTATATCATTGTGATCCTTGGTGTTTCAAGGATTTCATTTCTAACATTTACTTGTTCATCTAAGCTTGAATAAATCAGGCTTGAGAATTCTTTATGTATGTCATTGTTTCACAGTCTAACTTTTCTAAATAAATAATATTAAATGATTATTTTATTGCTATTTGTATCTTTAATAAATTTCAACTCATCAGCTTATTAGGTATTTTCTATTTTTGGTATCTGCCTTTTCTTTGTTTTTGTTATTTCAAGGCATTGGACAGATACAAATGTAGTGTTTGTAGAGATCTCTTGCATGTTTAATCCAGTCAGTTTTATCTATGGATTTCTGTTTACAACCTCCTTCAAGATGTCCTGCATTTTGAAATTATTTTGTTTCAGTTTCCATTTGATTCCAGGAATATTTAAATTTCCTCATTGATAACTTTTATAATCCACTGATCAATCAATACCTTGTATTTCAATCTTCATAAGTTTTTCTAAGATTTTGTATTTGTCTCTTTGGTGAAATCTAATTTTATTACATTGAAATATCTGCCATTTCAAGATCATCAAATACTGAGCCTTGGTCCTTTTCATCACTTCAATTTTCTTAAAATACTATTAATTCTTTGTTATTTTATAAACCACAGAAAGAAAGGGTGCTCAAAAAATACTAGAAAGGATAAGGACTCAGCTCATTGGAAGAAATGACACACCCACCATCAAGTTAATGGTAAGTTTATATACAGTAACATTTATTATCTAAATGAAAGAAGTTTTATTGGAATAAATGAAAAGTTGAGCATAACTGCATCACTGCAGTTTAAATGAGATTAACCCCCTCTGAGATAGAGGCTCTGAGAATTTTGCACTTAGCTAAATTAAGATGTGTTGAGAACCACTTTGTGAACTCAGAATAATGTAAAAATAATGTAGATACACTTGCAAATGTATCCAAGATCCAAAATGAAAGAAAAGTGTCATTGGAATTGATAGTACAAATAAAAACTAATTTACATAACTGATAGAAATGTCATATGCTTGTGTAAGGATAAATAAAAACCCATATCTCTAGATTTCAGTATTTATTTGGGAATTCTCATATGGATAAAATACCATAGAAATATACCTGGGTATATTATGAACAACAAGTGATTTTCTTCCAAAAGATAAGCTTTTGTCAAAAAGTCCTTTCAGGGTCAGGGATTTAGCTCAGTGGGGCCCCGCCTGCCTTGCAAGAGCAAGGTTTTGAGTTTAATCCTTTGTACAAAATAATCCTCTCAATTGGTCTAAAGGAAGACTTTAAACACTGCTTGGACATGACTCCTCACTTCTTAATTCTCACTGCAAATAAACTTGGCATAAACATACTGTAAGAATAACCTCATAGTCAGTACTCATACGTGGACACAGAAAATTTCATCATGGCATATTCATATGAATATCTAAAGAGAAATATATTCAAAGCTGGTCACACCTTAGAAAATGTGGTATGATTCACAGTGCAGCGTAGTGATATGATTTTTATCTAATTGAGAAAGTATTTCCTCCAAGTTCTGGTCTCATGAATCATAAGCTATACACACTAGATAACAAATGTTATTATGAAATTTGTGAGGTAAAAACATTAATCAAATTTTAAAACTTATACTACAGGCATGGAAAAATATTCAGCAAAATACCTGTGAAAACCTTCTGTGTTGTGAAACCTACAACCATGAATCCCTGCATAGAAGAAACAAAATAACTGAATCTGGAATACATTCAAACAAATGTCATCAAGGTGGTAAAAACTTTACAAGTTATTCTGAGCTTATAGGGCACACAAAAACTAACATGGTAGAGAAGCCACATGAAGGTTGCATGTGGAGAAAAACTTTCAGTCCATCTTCTAAGTTTTATCAGCATGAGAGAATAGAGACACATGAGAAAAAGTATGAATGCCAGCATTGTGGGAAAATTTTTAATCATTCATCTAAACTCAGAAGATATAATCAAACACACACAGGAGAGAAACCATATGAATGCCATCTATGTGAGAAAGCCTTCACTGATTCATCTATCCTTAAACATCATAAGCGAACACACACAGGAGAGGAACCATATAGGTGTTATTTGAGTGGGAAAGCTTTCACAAAATCACCTGCCCTTCTAGAGGATAAAAGAGCACACACAGGAGAAAAATCATATCGATGTGATTTGTGTGGGAAATGTTTCACACAATCAAAACACTTGAGTCAACATAAGAAAACACACACAGGAGAGAAACCATTTGAATGTCATCTGTGTGGGAAAGCCTTCACTAGATCATGTACCCTTAATCGGCATAAAAGAACCCACACAGGAGAGAAACCATTTGAATGTCATCTGTGTGGGAAAGCCTTCTCTGATTCATCTACCCTTTTACAGCATAAAAGAACACACACAGGAGAGAAACCATATGAATGTCATCTGTGTGGGAAAACCTTCACTAAATCATCTTCCCTTGCCCAGCATAAAAGAACACACACAGGAGAAAAACCATTTGAATGTCATCTGTGTGGGAAAGCCTTCTCTTATTCATCTACTCTTCTACAGCATAAAAGAACACACACAGGAGAGAAACCATATGAATGTCATCTGTGTGGGAAAGCCTTTACTAGATTATTGTCCCGTGTCCAGCATAAAAGAACACACACAGGAGAGAAACCATATGAATGTCATCTGTGTGGGAAAGCCTTCACTAAATCATCTTCCCTTGCCCGGCATAAAAGAACACACACAGGGGAAAAACCATATGAATGCCATATGTGTGGGAAAGCCTTCTCTGATACATCTAACTTTAAACAGCATAAAAGAACACACACAGGAGAGAAACCATATGAATGTCATCTATGTAGGAAATCCTTTTCTGCTTTGTCTAACCTTAAACATCATAAAAGAAGACACACAGGAGAGAAACCATATGAATGTCATCTGTGTGGGAAAGCCTTCACTCGATCATCTTCCGTTGCCCAGCATAAAAGAACACACACAGGAGAAAAACCATTTGAATGTCGTCTGTGTGGGAAAGCCTTTTCTTATTCATCTACTCTTCTACAGCATAAAAGAATACACACAGGAGAGAAACCATATGAATGTCATCTGTGTGGGAAAGCCTTCACTAAATCATCTTCCCTTGCCCGGCATAAAAGTACACACACAGGAGAAAAACCATATGAATGTCATCTGTGTGGGAAAGCCTTCTCTGATACATCTAACTTTAAACAGCATAAAATAACACACACAGGAGAGAACCCATATGCATGTCATCTATGTGTGAAATCCTTCACTCAATCATCTAGCCCGAGGAAACATGAGAAAACACACTCTAGAGAGAAATCACGAACATTCTCTTTTTTTTTTGGAAAACCTTCAGTAAGTTATGTTACTTAGTCTGCCAGAGAGAACTCACACAAGAGAGAAAACATGTGAGTATCCTATGTGTGAGAAAAACTTCAATCAATGGTATAGACTTTATACTCATTAGAGAACACAGTAGATAAACCAATCATGTCTTCTAATTAGAAAGTGTTCATGTATTCATCTAACCTTAGTAGGCATCAGAGAAATCTCACAGCACACAAATCATACTGAGAATATATGTGTGAGGAACAGTCAACTTCTCATAACAATGATGAGACAGTTCACATACCAAAGGAAATACATAAATGTCATCTGAGTGGAAAAGCCTTAGGCTAATCTTATACCTGATGGAAAAATCTTACAATGGAGATAAACTCATCATAGACATAAGAATCTCACCTGCATGAAAAATGATTCTACCATCATTCTGAACTTTGTTGTTGTGATACACTGCTCACAAAGTACTACAAAGAATACCTGCAGCACAGACTCCCCTGTTGTGCAAAATATAAATAAAATGAATAATAAATCTACTTCAGTGTTACCTGCAAAATGTGAAAGTGAACACACAACCTCAGTTAATGATATGGAAAATTTTTCAGTGGATGTGCTCCACAATCAACCGAACTAAGGACTTGGGGAAAGTAATTATTTATGTCATGCCATGATGCAACATCTCAGATATTTGTCTGACAAGGCTTCAGATATTTCAGTCTAGAATCTAAAATTTATAGAATACTTCAATCATATATATCAACTTAAGGCCCAGTAGAAAATATGACAGGAAATTTTCTATTTGTAATGAATGCTGCAAAAGTTCCATTCATAATTTCTCTTTAAACAATAGTGGAAAACTTCACTTGCAAGAACTTCTAGATCTCCAGTCATCAATAAGAACCATTATAATAAGTATAATGTTTAGTTTACACTAGAATATGTGTGACTAGATAACAACTTAATAGCTGATAGGTGGTTAAATATTTTTGAGGACTATCAAATCATTAACCTGAGGAACTGATTTCTTGCAAAATAATGATCATCTCTTTACTCAAACAGCAGCATGTATGGAAATGTAAGCATGCACACTTGACCAGATGTTCCATGTCATGTATAAAGCAAAGTTCAAAATGAACACTTGCTCACCATCACATGAAGGTTCTCACCAAGAAAAGTTAACCACTTTATAAGCCATTGGAAGAAATATTAGAGAGCTTTCACTTAGAAACTCTAAGAAAATATACATCCACTCTGAAATAAAAAAGAACTACAAGGCAGATTTTCAGAATACTGACACAATTATTATTGAACAATGTTGCATATTAATATAGGGTAGTGTGATTATTTAGAAATATCAAATATGGATGTGTGAGAGAAAACAATTAATTTTCCAAAACACAAATTCAATACAACTTATGTACAGAATAAAAAACTGTGATTTCAATTATTTAACTAATAAAACATTAGGAAGAAATCTGAGAGTTCTTTTGTAATATTTAATGCAGGTTCGAATGAATGGATTTAGGCCCCAAAACCTTGTCATGGCCAGAGATATTGAGGGTCACTTACTAGTAATAATTTTTAGAGAATTTCTTCCACCCAGGTGCCTTCACTACTCCATGGCTTCCTACCAATTTCAGCAGGTCACATACATGGCATGGGATGATATGACAGAGAGCTTGACTTTCCTCTCCATTTTCCTCAGGTTACCAAGGCACAAGGCCCAGGGGCAATTAGTGAAACAACTGATTGGAGCATTTTTGCTGTCCTGTGACCCTAGATTTTCCTATAAATTCCCTGGGGGGCTAGATGCAGGATCTCTCACTTATTATCTAAAAATGCCTGAGATTTCTCCCAAAAGGTACAGAGTTAAATTAATTGTTCAAAGTGACATGCAGAACCATTTTAATCATCTGAATTGAGCCAATCTTTGATTATTGATATTCAATATCTCACAACATATTCTTTGCTGTTATAAGAGCAAGCTGCTTATAAATAACTGACAAATTTGTTAGAGTCAATATTCAGTATAATATTTTGAAAAAATGGAAAATAAGTCTTTAATGAATCAATTTTGTGTTTTATAAAACTTCATGTTTAGGAGATTTCTGTAACCAATCTTATAATAAAAAATTAATGTGGAAGCTTTCATTAAATGCATTGTATGCCTCCTATATTTGAAGAATCATTATTTTCATCACATTTCAATGTACTAATGGGAAAGACAATTTTAAGCCACCTGTGAATGAAAGAATTGAATTTTGTGAAAGGACATCTAGTTATGAAATTTTATAATACAAAAAAGCTTTTAAAATATATATGAGTATATATTGGCCAGGATTCTGGTTGAGGCAACAAATAATACAAGAACAGTATGAGAGAATTTAAATTTTTCTAATGATTTCAAATATTTCCCTTGAAGATCAGATGGGATCAAGGAAGAAATTTCAAATCAAATGTGCTCATTTTATGGCAGTTGGGGACAGAAGTGGGGAATAACTACCATGAGGAATTCTCTACTGAGATGTGTCCATATTGCTCTGCACAAGCAAGTATGAATCAGCAAGTGCAATACAGTGTGCTGTGTGTTTAATTCAGCAACTCCTCTAATCTGGCACACTGAAGCACTTCAATTCTTGTTAAACTATTACATGAGGCCAGAACAAAAACACAGTAAGTTAATCTAGAACATGAAAAGTTATTTCACACTGTATGGGAAAAATCTTTCAGGAGAAGCTCAGCAAAACCTCCACCTCAGGCCTCAGGACAGGAAGCAGAAGCAGATTCTAAGTATAAATGCTGTCCTAAGTCATCCATAGTTCAAGAGGGAGCCACCTTCAGAGGGGTCTTGTAGAAATCAAGTTCCTGTTTTCCCTAGGTCACCATGGCCCACTTACTGGCCCAGCTCCAAGCTTGTGCTTCAGAATGGTTTGAAAAGTCAAGTTCACTTGTCCCCTTCTTTCCTTGGTGGGGAAGTGCAGGAGAGAGCTCCTGATGTGAGGGAGCTGAGGCTGCACAGTGACAGGTAAGATATCAGAGAAGAGAGGATAGAGTGGTCCATGTGTTAATAGAGTTGGAGACATTGGTGTGAAATACTCAGCTACATTCACCATAAAATAAACAGGTCCACTTCTGTGCATTCATCTATGTGACTGTCTTGAGGTAAGTCTATATTGATAGAGATATCTGTCATCTGTAAAGCAAAGTGTGCATACTAAGGTTAATTTAACTCAGTCTCCTGAGTGAGTAGCAGGGAAAACAGTCCCCCTTGGGAACGGTAGGATGGGCAGTGCTGCATTGCCAACAGCAACATGGTACTGAATGCTCTTCTGATCCATGTTGGCAATCACATTGGCCCTCCATCACTCTTATGACCTCTGTGGTGATGAATAGGACACAGACCTGATATTGTCACCCATTGTGGGAGGGGAGGATTTTAACTTCTGTCCTAGAGGATGGTAAGTCGTAGGCAGGCCTCTTCATCCCAATGCAGCTAAATGGCTTCACAGAGGGAGGGGAGAATAAAATGCTTACATTCCCCCCTTCAGATTAGGCACCTTCTTTCTTAATTTTCCTCTTGCATAAATGGACCAGCCACCAGGACAGGCTTGCCACCAGTCACCAGGAGAGGGTGAGGAGGACCTGCCTGGGCAGTTCCACCAGCAGATGGCCTGGCCATGTGGGTGCCTCAAACAACACTACCCCATTTGGCCTCTAGGCTTTTGGCTGTGCAGTTACTAGGTTACACACTGAAGAGGCACAAGGGGACATAAAATCCATTTTCCTGAGCACCAGAAATGACCAACAGAGAGAGAACCTGTCCAGCCTCCCTGATGAAAACAAGTCCACTGGCAAAGTGAAGGGAATCTCTGCAATAAAGGCACACAAGTCCACCCTGATTGGTAATTTGGAGGGCTCAACAGCTCCTATCGGAAACTGGACATTCTTCAGGGGAAAGGCAGCTGAAACCAGCAGAGTGCTATGCTGCAGGAAAACAGGGAGCTCAACTTGGAACTTGCAACCAAAAATCTTCCTGAATCTCACAGGTTGGGGACCAGCTTCTGAGACTCATTGACATAATGGCACCCTGCTGTCCACATTGTCTATTCAGACAGCAGAGACACACTTTGAAGGAGGATCATTATTTCTTAAAGGTGATAGATTTATAACTACCACAAATTGTAATTCTCTAAGTGGTGTTTGATGCTATGGTGTTGCTGATTGTATGACATGGGCTAAGGTTGATTGATCTAAACAGTTTTCCTTCCTGGTATAATAAAATTGATGATTGATCTAAACAGTTTTCCTTCCAGGTATAATGAAAATGAGATAGCCTCAGAGGCATTAGAGACTCAAAACCTAAAGACCAGCTATATCTGGGAGACACCTCTGAGAAACAATCATTCCATAAGGGTTTTAAATACATCAACAAAGATACTTATAATAAACTTCGTAATATCAACCCAGGAACTAAACCAAGGAGAGTACCAAAAACAAAACATCAGAAGGTATTAAAGCAAGTCACAAACCCAGAATTCCACCTCACAAAAAGCAATTTCTGGGGGTAATGAGGTGCAAAAGCCTGATGATCAACCACCTGGAAACCCTGAACTGATAGCACAGGAAGTAACAAAACAGATGAATGAGGTTCTAGAAAAATTCAAAGCAGAAATTATCTCCTAGATAACTACAGAGATGGTGAGCAGAGGGAAAGACATGATTAGAGGCTCTAGAACAGAAAATTTTAAAAAAAATTGATGATCTCAGAAACATGCTGGAAGCCAGGAATGCCCAACATAAGAAAGAAATGGAATCCATGAAACAGATTCAAACAGATATAAAGGAGATTAAATACTCCATGGAAGCACACAGAGCTGATTAAGAGAATCTGAAGATAGAATATCAGATAGAGAAGACAGGATAATGGTGAAAGAACATGAAAACAGAGATTTCTTAAAAATAGTAAGGGACCATTAGAAATCAATTCAACAGCTGCTAGATGACGCAAAGAAGAATAACAAGACTGATAAGAGTCCATGAAAAAAAACAGGAGAAAGTACATTTGACATAAAAAACTGTTCACAAAAGTAATCATAGAAAACTTCCCAGACAGAGGTGGAGAATTGGACATAGAGATAAGTGAGGCATAAAGAACTCCACCCAGGCATGATAAAAAAAAACTGCACCTATACATATAATTGTCAAGATCCCAGGAACCCCAAAGAAGAACAAAATACTACAGGCAGTTACAGAAAAGAAACAAATCACCTATAAAGGAAAGCGCATCAGAAT